AAGGTCAGGGCGATCCAGCATCTGGAGAAGGAGTGGTCGGAGTGCTGAGTCGAGATGGAATGGACGTTGATTGGACAGCATGTGATCGACTGAAGAGTGAGGGGATGGTTTGGGGGGTTTTGATTTACTGAGGGAAAACCCGGATCTTTCAGATTCGGGTTTTCCCAGATATGCCAGTTTACCTATTCTAGTAAAGAGAACTTTGGAAAATGCTTGCTTCCGCGTCTTTACTTGGAGTTGGGGTTTTCTGGAACGCTGACACCTTCACTTAATCCTCCAGGGAAAAACTGAAGGCAAACGAGGCCCAGGCAGAAGAACAACATCATGGCTTCAAAACCCAAGGGACTGGTTTGGACAAAACTCAGCAGCACTTTTTCATGTGGCTGTTGACAAAAATAGGATTGCTAACGTGATCGCCAATGTTCAATGACAGATATGGCACAAGAAGAAGAAAAATCCTATATGTTAGTATCATACACACACATATTGCTCCTAACATATATCTAATACTCCTAATTACTCAACATATACTCTTATTTTCTATCCTGCCTTTATTATTTTTTATAAATTACTCAACATATCCAATCTTCCGCCTATTTCCCCACAACAAGTGAATTGGGCTGAGAGAGTGACTGGCCCAAAGTTACTCAGCCAGCTGTCATGCCTAAAAGGACTAGAACTCACAGTCTCCTGGTTTCTTTAATATATCTATATAATATATCTATTAGTATCTAGCTAATTTTAGAATACAAGATAATAGAACAGGGCAAAATAGAATAGGATAATTCTTTATTGGCCAAGTGTGATTGGATACACAAGGAATTTTATCTTAATTTGTGAACTTTTATAAAAACTTCCTTTGTACTAAGCCTTGTATTTTGAGTTTAAAAAATAATTTTAAAGGGCTTTTCTACATCTAGTGATACTAACACTCCTGATTCCAATGTTACTGAATGTACATCTAATATATAAGATTGCAGTATAATATCCAAAGTTGTCATCCTTTTATAAAGCTAAATTGCACAAAAACAGAAGTAATACTATTTGTAATCTACTTGCTCAAAATTCTGGCAGATTCTCAATATTTAACCAGAAGATTAGGCAATAGTTGTACAATCAGAAAATCTTCATCATCCTTCAAAATTGGTAACTGAAGCCTCATTGGAGGAAACTGGAAAGTTTATTTCAAAAAGCATCTTCAACAATAGAGGAGAAAATAACTTTCATATGTATTATACTACCGAACAGTATACTCACCATGACCAATAGCATTTCCTGTTTAATATGCTTAATAATATCTATTTTGCCCCTGAAGAGATAGGGATGCCACCAGATAAATAGCTTAGGCATGTGAGACATACTAATTTATTTAAAATATTTATATAGCCACTCATCTCTGGGCAGCTCCAAATCAACAGTTAAAAATATCAAAATAATTTTGAAAACAACATCAAAATCATTAGTACATTTATCTATTCAGACCAGCTAACACGCAGAAAAGTTACTGCATTTAAAAAATGAGTCTCATTTTAACTCAGTTTTATAAAGTATAAAAAATAAAGCCTCGCTTATTAGATCACAGTCATATAGGTTTCTTAACCACCCATAATAGTACAAATATCATTTTTTTCTGTTTTAATCAGGAGGCCCATTGTCTACTAGATCTTTAATCTGAATAAATCATTTGATTGACTATTTAGGGAAAGGCTGGGGGACGCATCCTCTATCACAGATCACTAATTACTTTGATAGTTATATTAGATGAAAACTCCATCAAACACATGAAGTATACCAATCTCACAAAATTCTCTGATCCATATTAAAAGATACATAAAGTCATAGGTCTGCCCTTTTTAAGCTTTTTCAAACAGTGATTTCACCTTTTACTGTCAGCAAATACTTACGTACCTTAATAGGCTGGCAACACAGTTCCTTTGTCTTAGATTTTAGTTGGCTTGAGGCATTGTCTGCAAACACTAGCATTTTATTGCAGCAATATAAAACTAGATATCAATTATTCCAAAACTAGCTTCCTTTATTGAGAGGCACATTAATTACACTCCTAATTAGTAGATTAACAATAGCATACCAAAAAAGATAAGGCTTTCATACATGTTGGAAGTATCAAGCGCAGATAAGGAGGAGGAAACAAGAATATTATAAAAGGCAGGAATGAACTATCATGCTTATAAAATAATAATGCAGAATTCAGGGAATTAATGTCCCAAAGCCAAAGAGAAATAAAAGTAGTAATAGAAGCATAGATTTTACCTGAAGTTTAGATGATTTTCCCCAAAAATCAATTTGAAAATGTCTGTGGAGATTCTCAGTCATTCAGGTCATGGTTGTCCCAAAGGTGCTTTTTCAAGAGGCAACTGGACTTTCTGGTTTTTTTCTTTGAAGACGTTTTGTTTCTCATCCAAAAAGCTTCAGCTCTGACTGGATTGGATTACAGGTATATTTTAGTATATCTGTAATGAGTGCAGATATATTAAAATATCACTACAATGGCCTCAGTAACTGCTATAGAAGTTGAAAAAATAATCTCACAACAGATGGCTGGAAAGACCACAGGAGATGGCATACTGCCATCAGAAATTTTTAAAGTGTTCCCTGTTTGGTGAGCTTCTCTGCTCACCTCCATTTACTTATATTAATGCCAGGGGGTGAATCCCTCTAATTTAGAGAAATAGTGCAGTGATTCCAATATTTGAAAAGGGAGATTCCATAAAACCTGCCAACTGTTGCCCCAGAAGTGGTACAGAGTATATTTTAAACAGATTGAACGATTGGGTGGATACTAAACAAATAATATTTCTGGGCCATTCTATAACCTTTCTTGCCACCATTGTTAAGTAAATCACTGTAGCTGTTAGGTTACTATCATAGTTGTTAAGTAGATCTGCTTTCCTCATGGATTTAGCTTGTCAGAAGGTTGTAAAATGTGATCACACTGCAACAGTCACAAATACATGCCAGTTCCAAGTCTCCAAATTTTGATGACATGATCATAGGGATGCTGCAACAGTCATAAGTGTGTAAAATGATCATAAGTCACTTTTTTCAGTGCTCTTGTAACTAAAGCATTCACTAAATGAATGCTTATAAGTTGAAGACTACATGTAAATAGTTAAAATTAGCAATGAACTTTGGAAGATGCTTTTGTTGCAGAAATCAGTATTACCTCAAAATTCATGTATGTATGCAAAGGGCTCTTCATTTTAATTCCATTAAAGTATTTCAAGCAGGATTGGTTAATTAAGGAAAGGGTTAAGGGAAGGACAAATTGGATTTTTTTAATTATTCCAAATACGGCTCTCATATGAGGACAGAGTTTCATTTTCCTGATTTTCAGGTTTGTCAATGGAGATAGATATTGACTTATTCTTCAAACAAACAGAGTTGGAAGGATCCTAAAAGGTCATTTATTCTGAGCTTCCACTTAGCACAGGATCTGCTAAAGTATATTGGACAGATGATGATCCAGGCTGTTCAAAAATCTCCAGTGAAGAGAAATATAGCATTTTAATGAAATAACCCCTATCACCAGCTGACAGGTCTTACTTCCAATCCAAATTAAACAAAAATGAATATCCTGAGATGGTTGGTTTGTTTACAGTACAGATAGCCCTCAACAATAATTCATTTAGTGACCGTTTAAAGTTACAACGACTTTGAAAAAAGTGACATATTTCATACTATTACAATATCCCCATGGTCACATGATCAAAATTCAGATGCTTGGCAATTGGTTCATATTTATGATAGTTGCAATGTCCTGGGGTCATGTGATATCTTCTGACAAGCAAAGTCAATAGGGAAGCCAGATACACTTAACAACTGTATTACTATCTTAACTGCAATGATTCACTTTACAACTGTTGCAAGAAAGGTTGTAAAATGAGGAAAAATTCATTTGACAAATGTCTTGCTTAGCATCAGAAATATTTGGCTCAATTGTGACCATAAGTCGAGAACTATCTATATAGAGAGCCGAGGTGGCGCAGTGGTTAGAGTGCAGTACTTCAGTTGATTGTTAGCTGCAGTTCGGCAGTTCAAATCTCACCGGCTCAAGGTTGACTCGGCCTTCCATCCTTCCGAGGTGGGTAAAATGAGGACCCAGATTGTTGGGGGCAATATGCTGACTCTAAACTGCTTAGAGAGGGCTTAAAAGCACTATGAAGTGGTATATAAGTGCTATTGCTATTGCTATACTAATAATAGATTAAGAATATTGCTATAAATTCTCAATTTATATTCTCAATGATCAATAAAAAGATTATTGTATCTGAAAAAATGAAGTCATTACAACTGTTAAAAAATAAAAGTGAGTGACTATAATTCTGATCAACTTGCATTTTAGAAAAATCTGAATAAAATATGTAGCCATATTCCAGAAGAAAATTGTCAGAGCCAGACCAGTTACCTGTCTTCGCTTTTAATATCCCTTTTTTCTGGAAAGGTTCTCTTCTTGAGATTAGCTTGATCCCAATTCTGCAAGTTTTTTGGAAAGCTATTAAGGTCTAGCTATAGCAGAAGGAATGATTTCTCTCTGATCTCTCTGCCATGAGAAGGACTGTGATTAATGTTCTGTGCTTTGATGCTGTCAGAGATTATGTCCTTGCCTTGTTTTTGTTTTAATCTTGTTATTGGGTATGGAGGGTAAGCTGCTCAGGGTTGAATGCAATTGGAATATCCTACCGGTATATGTCTTAGTAAGTAAATGAAATTCAAATTGGTAGAATAATTCAGAAATAGAGTATATCTAGTCATCAGCCAAACAGGTGCTAATGCTTTGTACCAGAAGACCCAGCCTGCCATATACTGTCTAATCAGAAAAAATCTCTCAATTTCTCTCTCCCTGCTTAATCCAACAAATGCCTTTGACATGAAAATTAGAACCGATTAGGACTAAACTGAAACTTTGAAAGATCAGAACAAAATAACACAACAAAACTCAACAAACAAAACACAACAAACAAAAGTCAAGAAATAATATACTCCATAATGAAAGCATAATTTATTGTTTTATCAACATATAATATGCTGACACAAATGGGTTATACCCTTCAACATTACTACTGAGCTTCATCCCTGAGTGAATACAGTGGTACATTTCAAGCACATTTGTAATTTAGTTTGCAATAATTAAATTGCAAATTCATGTACCTGCTTATTGCAGTAGATTGATTTGGAGGAAGATGACTTTGTGATTTTATATAGAAGTGTGTTATATTGGCTCTGAAGAAAATACACCTTTTATGTCAGTTTACCTGAGAACCATTTTGCTACTGGCATCTAAAATCTCATCTACCAATTACAAAATAATACCTGTTTCAAAATTTCATCCATCTCCTTATAGCATGCCCTTAAAAATTAATATATGTTGCTTGCTTGTTATATGAGTCATAGTTTTAGCTGGCACAGAATTGACGAAGGAATGCAAGCAGGCACTTTGTGAAAGCCTTGCATACATGGAACAAGCATGTATTAACTATGGCTGTAATCCTGTCAGGAAATAATCCCCTCTGAACTCAGTGGATTTTATTTCTGAGCTGGGACGGATTGGATTGGATTGGATTGCATTGTAAAGTATTTTCAGTTCAATGCAGAGTGAAAACTCCCTTCTGACAGATATTGCCCTTAATTGTTGTTGTTGTTAACCCTATGAGGTATTTACCTGAAAAGTGATTTTTTTACCTTTTACCAAGGGATTGGTACAGGTTGTAGGGTTTGAGAAATGAGGTATTTATCATTCTAGTTCTTAAAAGCTGATTCTTTACTTTTGAGGAATAACATGCCAGCAAGTGTAAGTGCAGTGGAATTACCATTATAGCTTCCATGACTGTTGCACCTAGCTAGGTGACAGGACCTGGCTGACTGTGTGATTTAAAAGAGCTAAGCAGGCTGGTTAATACTATGATGGGAAACTACCAAGAAACCTTTGGGAAAGTAATATCCTGCAGGCAAAACAAACCGTTCCTATCTGTTTGCCAGAAAAGCTCATGAAGTCACCCACAGTCAATTTGAAGAATAATCTAAGATTTTAAATGCTTAGCAATGCATCCAGAAGAGGTGGTTATGTGTTAAATATGTGTTTAAAAAGTCTGGAAAAATATATATTTTTATTCCATCTCTTTAGTAATAAATGCAATTGTCACAATTATTTTTGGGCTGTTTTATAATAGAAGTTGATCAAATTTTAAACTGAATATCATACTGAAAAGTAATTGAGGAGGTTTTTGTAGAAATGGAGCAAGTTACTGTAAAATAAGGTGAATTTTCATTAACTTTAAAAATGATTTGTTTTTCAGATTAGCAACAAACCAATAAAATACTTTTCACCAAGAGGCAACACATCAGGTGTCATTTGCTTCTTTCTAGTTCTCAAAATTAATTCTATATGGGGGTTTTGTTTTGCCAAATTCCCAAGATTTTATATACTTTAAAAATGTTTCAGACTGGCATATGTTCTATAGGCCAGCAACAAGCTGAGCCTCTGTATGTAGGGGGAAAAAACCCTTAAAGCATATTTAAATCTCTCACATATCCTGAATAAGAAATTTATGTCATCTATTCCTTCTTTTCTAATTCTCTAGATACTCCCTTGAAAGTCTACTTTTTCTTAATTATTGCTTTGTGGTTATTCATCAAGGATATTTCTTAAACTCTCTGTGCCTTTCCCTACTACTGAATTAACCATCCTTCTAGGCATAAAACATGCTGGTTGTATTGCCAATCTTTCTACTGAATCTCCCACTGCTACCAAATAGTGTTGTCCTGATCTGAAACTGCACCATTCATTATGGGCAAGATTTGCTCCCCCTTCAGCACTACACCCATCATGTAGGACAGGGATGTCAAACTTGCGTGTCACATGACATATCACTTTTTTCCCCCTTTGCTAAACAGGGCGTGGCCAGCATGTGATGCATCTGGGCTGCGGGCCGCGTGTTTGACAGCCCTGATGTAGGATTATATCCACCAATCAGAGCACAGCAGCATGAACAGGGTGGATCTGTTTGAGCGATTCTGCTTGAGGTCTAGAGACTCACTTCCCATTTGGCCATGTTCCAAGGTAAAACTGTGAAATAAGAGAAGACACCAGGACAGAAGTAACCCCCCAAGAGGAAGGAGGTAGATAAACCTTACCATGAGTGTACAACCAGCCAGGTTGTGTGAAAGAGAATGGAAAGTGAGCAGCTGCTGGGCAACCACTTTTCTTATTTGTGATGTGAAAGTGGGGAGTGGGGATAACAATATGATATCCGTGGCTAATAGGACAAAAGCTAATTTAGCATCTCTCATTTTGTAAACTCTGCAGAGCTCCTACATCTAAAAATCAGATTCCCTTTGATGCTACTTCAGAATACAATAATATGAAATTGAGCAAAGCCCCTTACTTTCCCCAGATAAAATAGTACAGATCTGTTCTCTCTACCTTGTTGGAAGCTTGGAACAAAGTTGATTTCAAAAAACAGGGAGGGGAAAAGCAAGAATATGAAAAGAATTCTGCTAAGAACTGCTAATAGGGTGTGCAAATCCTGAGAGAGCAATTGCTGCATCAGAGGCTGGCAAGTGACCAGAGGAGTCTCAATGCTCTGAAACAGCCCCCTGATCAGGGGTTATCTGCCTTCACCTCTCAAATTCTGAATAAGAAAGTAGCACAAATTGTATGTACCTTGAAACAAGGCGAGATAGTATTGACTTAAAGAGAAAAAGACTACTTTTGTATCAATACACTTTGTGACAATTTAAGATTGCTTCTTCACCCATGGGCTGGGGCAGGATGAGGATTCTGTCCTGCACCCCAGGGAGAAGACTGATATTTAGGACATGGTATTTCAGTGCTGCTGTAAACTGTATATTTGAGGACATGGCCTCTCTATTTGGAGTTTAATCCTATTGCCCTTTACTTTGGGGAGGATAATTGTTAAAATTGTAGAAAAATAATATTTTCCATACGTTAACCTTGTTCATACAGTTGCCTTGCATTTCTTAAATCTCTTAAAACAAGTGTGATCTTCTGTTTGATCTTCCTTTTCTTAAATTTATATAATATACTGTGTCAATCCATTTACTGGTACCACCAGCAATTTGGCTTTAAGTCCTTTTTTTCTGAAGAGATGGTGAAGTGGGCTTCTGTAAAGCTTCAGCTTTTTTCTTTTCTTCTTCAGCCTTCTTCCTTTTTTCCTTCAGCTCCTTATATCTCCATTTGGGAATCTCCAAGTAGGTCCCATCATTAGCATTACTTTTCCGTTGCACTTTCTCCGGCTGGAAAGTAGGCCGAGGTGCCTTACTTATGCGGACTCTGGGGATGACAAGCCCAGGGCGAACACTGCTTCTTCTTAACAAATGCAGTGGCAACAGGCTGGCTTTCCTTCGGACCATAACGTTGACTTGGGGCATATTTAAATGGAAAGGCTGCAGGCTGGCCCTCCGTTCCTTCGTTTTGGACACTAGTGTAATTCTGGAATTCTGAAACAGCTTCTTATAGCTGTTAAAACGTTCCCTGTTCTCCAAAGTTTGAAGTTCTTTAGCTCTTTGTTTCCTAAGAATTTCTTGTACAGCTGGCCTGCGTTTTCCTACAGCAGGAGGACTTTCAGGGCACACAGTCCTGCAAGCTATGGCAATGAAGGAGCTTCTTAAACTTGTTGTTGTTCTAACCATGTGATCAAGGACTCCATCTTCTTCAGGACCGTGGAAAGTTCTGAAGTCTACAATGGATCTCAAAGTTTCTGAGATCTTCTGCAAGCAAGTTTTTGAACCTGTAGCCTTAGCAAGAAGTTCTTTCAACTTTGGCCATTCAAGCAAATATTGATCACAAAATTGCTCAGCACATGGCTTATCCATAAGTCTCTGTATAAGATATGCAGATTCTATTCGTCCTGTGAAACATGCCCATTCCAGAGGAGTGAATCCACGACTTGGATCTGTTGCATTAATATTTGCTCCTTCAAAGAAATAAGAGAGAGAGAGAAATTAAGGTCATGCTGTATGTGTTTTAAACTGAGGTTGTAAAAGTTGTAGTTCTTGATTGCTATTGTTAGCTATCATGGTTGATAGTCTGATAATAAGGTTTTGAGCTATGCTAAATTGTTTAGAGGTTTGAAGTACAGTACTGATATACTGCTCTGCATAACATTGCATTAATATTGTAGTCTTCCGAAAATCAACATAATCAAAGTAGAATGAAACAATCACTGATTAAATTTTCTTAAAATAAGGAATTCAAATTACAACATTGACTGATTACCTCATTTGCATTCACCAACCATTCTCTTATACACAAAAACATAGAAGTACCCACATGCAATCATACAGAAATAGAAATTCTGTGCATTTAAAAAAATCAAATATTTCAAGAAATCAACCTCTCCTAATCAATGGATAATGTCCAGGCTGACCTGGAAAGGAATCCATGCTTTCCACTGGCAGTTTCTACAGTCATTGCTCATTCTTTTCACCAGCTTGTTCCAGTCCTCAGTGAATGAAAAAAAAATCCTTTCTCAATATAAGGTTGAGAGAGAAAGAAAGATTTACTGCCTTGCCTTTCTCATGGTTGTTACTCTAATATAAAATATAGAGATGTGCAAAATGTATTTTAGTATTCCAAGCATGAAAGAAAACGTGTTTTTCAGAAGGTTGATTCCAGATTGGAACAGAACTCTAGGAATGGGTAAAAGATTCCATACACAGAGACAGGTTAGACAGTATTGAAGAGTTCATAGTTGGACCAAAATACACATGTCTTTTCTATGAATGGACCTGGAGCTTGCAGAGATGTTTCGGGGTATCCCCCTTTACATATTTTTTTCTTGATAGCATTTTAGATGCCACTGCATGACACCATGCTAACGTCCTTAGACGTCTCCTGTTTTTCTTTCCTGAAACAATTGTTTATAATCCAGTATCACTTTTCATAGGATTTTTCATCCTCCTTGGATACATTTCTCCTTCACAATGTCAAGCAATTGTATCCTATCTGCTTCTTCATTGACTTAATCAGAATTTGCTCTTCTGAAGTCTAATATAGGTAGTCCTAAATTAATCACAGCAATTGAGATAGGCAATTCTGTCACTAAGCAACTTAGTCATAAAATGACTCAGTTATTAAGTGATGATCAAACACTCATGTGATCATCACATGATCACACATTACTTCTGGCCAGGGGTGAAATCTACTTACCTTCCCTACCGGTTTGGAAGTGCACGCGCTGTGCACGTCACATTCATGCACGGACCCTCTGCGCATGCGCAGAGGGTAAAAAACAGGTTACTTCCTGGTTAAAATCAGGAAGTAACAACGACTGGGTGGGTGGGCAGAGCCTCGCGCTGCTATCACTACAGGTTCTCCGAACCACCCGCCACCATCGTTACAGTTCGGCTGAACCAGTCCGAACCGATAGCATTTCACCCCTGCTTCTGGCTTCTCCAATGACTTTGCTTGTTGGAAGCTAGATATGAAGATCACAAATGGCAATCACACGACCATGAGATGCTGCAGTTGTCATAAATGCATATCAGTTTTGAATTTCCCAAATCATCATTACGTGACCATAAGATGTTACAATCACCATAAGTTTGAAAAACTGTTTGAAAAATTACTTTTTCAGTACTGCCATATGTTTGAATAGTCACTAAACAGGGCAATCACTGACTGAGGACTACCTGTAAGTAGATTACATTATTTTCAGTTTTTCCACCTCTGGTCTTCATTAATTCAAGGCTAACAATCAAGGTAACAATCAATCTCTTCTTTTTGTTTAGAAGGTGCTGTAGGCTTTTTTGATAACAGAGTCTAACCTAAGCAGCTTTTTCAATGGCTGACAATAAAATTGAGTTTTATTTTAAAGGGATTTATTTTAATGTTTTAAAAATCTCTCACCAAAATGTATTTTATTTGTTAAAATTGCTGCCATGTAACTAACAATTTATTTACAGTGTGACACACTGCTTTTGAATTCATTGTAAAGTATAATAATTGATTTGGTAAAAAATTGTCAGGAAGAAACACATTTTGCAGTGAAGAGACAGCATTTAAAAAACAGCATAGTATTTAAATGAATACCAACTGGGAGACCTGCTTGCACACACTTTCCTCCAATATAAATCTGCATTGTTACTAGAGACCAAAATAAAGAATGATCAAGAGAATGAAAATGTTAAAGCTATAATGAATCTCATTAAAAAGAAAAAAAAGAAGAATTTGTGATCTTTCTTCATTCAAAGCACAATGCAATGGGAAAGAAAACAAACCCAACAACCTCCAAAATTCTCTTTAAAAAACCAGACACACAACCAAAGGACAAACAGAACGGATATTTGCTATAACAGATGGTAAGTCTATGAATTTAGGTTAATCTCATGAATGGTTAAGAGATTCATTTAAGACTGTATCAGACTATAATAAGAACAAGTGAAGGATACCTCTAAAGCTACACCAGAAGCAACTGGCTTATGCAATGATTTCCCATCACTGTTTCTTGCCTTTGTGAATGTCAGCAAATAACTATATAAAAATATAATATCAAATATTGTGGCACTTCCAAATATGATGAAAAGATTTCCTAATTTTTGTTTATTTTGTATTTTTTTAAAGTCAACTTAGTAATAAAGTTGATTTCCTATAGAACTGCTTCAGGTTCTCCAAGAGCAGCAGGGTGTTTACCTGTAAGTGAAATGCTCTAGTCATTATATTAGATTCTGGAAATGCATGAAACATTTTAGAAAAAGTGAAACAAGTTGGCATCCCTGCCCCCTCCCTTTACCCACAGAGGACTAAGATAGATCATTACTTTCCTATACCATTTTTTTCCAGCATTGCTGTGAACATTATAATGACAGGTAGTCTTTGATTTACAACCACAATTGGGACCGGAAATTCAGTCACTAAATAATGTGGTTGATAAGCGAGTCATCATGTAACTGGATTTTATGACCATTTTTACTGTGGCTGTGTTAAGCAAATTACCATGGTTCTTAAGTGAATAATGTGATCATTAAATGAATCATGCAGTCATTAAGTGAATCCAGTTTCCCCAACTGATTTTGCTTATTGTAAGCTGGTTGGGAACATCACAAATCATGATCACGGGAATGCAAGATGCAAGCTGGTTGCAAAGCACCTGAATTGCAATCAAGTGACTGCAAGGGTGTTGCAAGAGTCAAAACGCTGAGGAGAGGTTGTAAGTCACTTTTTTCTGAGGTTGTCATAACTTCCAACTGTTGTTAAATGGATGGTTGTAAATTGAGGATTACCTGTAACGGGGGAACATTAGTGGTGGGAAAAGAGCACAGTTTGCATAATAGCACAGATGACTAAAAGCATATAGTTGTATGCAGAAACTGCTCCGTGATCTTCAGTGTCTATGAATTTAACAATTGAGTGAGTGGCAGAAAAACAGGAATCATGTTCCATGTGCATAAAGAGCAAAAGAAAGGAAAAGAAAGAAAATCTAATTAACTAATAATACTAAATACTATTAAAAATCCATGAAGTAGAGAACAGAACATTTGTAGAAAAGACACTCAGAGAAATTTGTGTTTCTGATGCTAAGACAGGATGACTAGAAGATTAAGTTCCATCCTGCTTCTATGTGTTTGCTAAACATCTCAGTTTTAACAGCTTCCATTTTCCAGGAGACTAAATTTTCTTGTTGACGAGATTAAATGTGCCATTTTTAACAGAGATTTAGTACAGCGATTTTCAAGTTATTCTTGGTTAGAAATATATGCTTTTATTTTGCACACTCCTCTCTCCAAATTTGACATAGGGATTTTTCACAGAAGGTACTCTCACTGCAAATTGCATGTACAGTTTGTAGAAAACTGTTAAATGCTTATTTTATTATTTTTACAATTTATGATATACAGCAAAAATTTTACATAATTTAGCTTTATGATTGAGATTTATCCTAAGAAATATAGTGGTAGAAAACAGCAATATAAAAATGGATTGATTTAATAGTAAAACCACTGAAATCATCGGGAAACTATCATGATTAATTTAAATTCTATTGACTTCAATTTAAGTAGCTACGAGTACTATATTCTATGTGCTGATCTATGACTGAATAAAGAGTAGTTGATGATGAATGGTTTCAAGAATATGACTGTGGAACTAAATCCTACATTTACTGTACACATTTAATAATTGCCAACAAAACCTACTCTGAAAGTAAATGGAGTTTTTCATTGAGGATAATGTACAACAATTCAATGGGAAAGAAAACAATGAAAAAAAGAATTATGTATACCTGCTAATATTAAGGCTCTGGCACATTCACTTCGGCCTTGCATTGCAGATTTCATGAGTGCAGTAAATCCAAATGCATTCCTTTTCTCAATATCAAGATCGGAATAATAGTTGAGTAAATATTGTGTAATGTTAATATGTCCTACAAAAAGAATAAAAATTATCTATATAAAGAATATTAGTTTCAAATCAGTATAAATATGACATGGTTAATTTTTGTAGGATTTTTTAAAATTATAATATGCTAAGGCTCAGAGGAAATTTTCCATTCCCCCCCCCTCTCTAATATACATAAACAAGTCTTATATTTAAATGCCAACTGAAACATAAATGGCACAGACACTAAGATTTCATGGAATGAATGAATGTACCCCACTTGTTTCCCTTATCTGAAGTTACTTTTTTTCCTTCAGAGTAATTTCTTCTCTTCCAGAGCCATTAGCCCTTGAACAATGCTGAAGGGAACACAAGATCAGTTCAGGGACATCGAATTTCCCCAAATTTATGCTTCATTCTCAGGTAAATGACGCTTAAGGAAATGCACAACAAGGACACCTCCCACTGCCTCTTACCAAGCAAATTCCTGCCAGATTGCTTAGCACAGGGTTCCCCAACCCCCGGGTCAAGGACTGGTACTAGTTTGTGGCCTGTTAGGAACCAGGCTGCACAGCTGGAAGTGAGTAGAGGGCAACTGAGCAAAACCAAAACCAGTACCACCACCCCAGTCTATAAAATAATTGGATTCTGTGAAACTGGTTCCTTCTGCCAAAAAGGTTGGGGACCGCTGGCTTACCAGATATGCCCAATCATCTGACAAGGTTTTTGGGGACTTACAGATGGCTGCAAGAAGAAGCTTGCATCCCATGAACTTCCTTACATTATCTGTTAATAAGCCCTCTGGAACACAATAGTAAATAAACAAGAACTAAATTATAAAAGGCTAAATGTTAACTAAAGTTACTTATACAATCTTATCCATGGTCAGAAATAATTTATGTGGCAGCCATCAAGAATTCCTCTATAGATACACTTTCTATATTCTTGAAAGTATCTCCAGATATTTATTAGGAATAGGAATGCTTACATACTAAACTGTTTCACATTAATATCCATTACCTAGTAATTACAGTTTAACAGGCATGGATCACATTTGCTCAGATAGCAGGAAGTAATTGATTCAGAGGTCAAAAAAAACCCTAGATTATTTTCCACACTAGTCTGAACATAAGCCTTTTTGGGTAAAGAGTATGACAGGATTGAGTACACAGTGGCAGAACAGACAACAGAGCAATTAGATAGCATATATTTTAACAGAAATACAATAATTGTTGCCAAATTTTATAAGCAAAATGTTGGGTTGTCTGGAGAAATGGATATATTTCTGATCGATAAATGGTTTAAACAAAATCTGGGTAGCTTGAGAATGTTGTTATTCAAGAGTTATGAAGTGAAATTTGATATCCCTGTATTAACAATACAAGACAATGAGGATTATGTTTCAAAACGCAAGCTGAGCTGCATATGAGATTTTCTTAAAAGATCCCTTCATAACTGCCATAGGAAACTCACTAAAGTGAGCTCCTTCAGAATTTTGGAATAATGATTTCATAAAATATTGTCCTGGTCAACATAAACCGATGATTCCAAAAGACAATCTTTAAGTAAGGAAGACTATTCCATTTCATCTTCTGTATCCAATATCAGTTGCTTGAGTGTTTTCTTTGCATTCTTGAAATCCAACATCAGAAGGGCATTGCTGGAGAAAATATAATTCAGTTGCTGAGGTGGTGATCATTTCCAATGTAAATTGAAGTTCAAAACCAAGTCCTTTGGCAAAAAGATCACTTTTACTAATACATGCATATATTTAACCAGTTTTAGCCTCTTTGTATGTCAAGAACTGCATGAAGATGTCTTGCAGTTATTTTTAAGCAGACTTTCTCAGTGTGGTACTTCACTGTGGAAGGCCCTCCTCCCTCCTGAAATCTGTGTATATTTGTTACTAGAAGCACCTTTTAAAATTTATCCAGGCTTTCCTTGTTAGCACCATGATACATATGTGTCGTTCCCCACTTTAAAATGACATATGCCATTTTTTATTCTCTTTTATATTTTGAGTGAGTCTCCTTTTGGTTATTCTATTATGTGCTTGTTGCCATGTTATTTTTTATTTTGTATTTGTTTATTGTTATTTTATTTTTTTTAATCTGCTGCCCAGAATCACACTGAGTTGGATGGTCTTATAAATACTGCAAATAAATAAACATGATTTTAATTAACCATGTTAATCAATGGTTTATATTTCTAATGAGATGCTTGGGGATTTGTTATAATGGGAAGAATAGAGATATCAATATTTATTTATGTGTTTGTTTTTAATTTTTTTAAAATTTTATTTATTTAATTGTCTTACTGGCCATATATTATAGTTCTCCACATAGATCTTGACTCCTGCAGTTTTCTTGGCAACATTTTCAGGTGTGGCTTGCCATTACTTTCTTTCCATTGTAGAGAGGGAATGGCACCAAGTGACTTAGTGCCTAACATGGGACTAGAACTTCTGTTCTCAGACCAGTATCTTTAATTACCACACCAAACTGACCAGAGTTCCAATTTTCAGCATGGGGAACAACATTTATACAAAGGATATAAGTGAAATGATGAAATACATAAACTTAGAAAACAGTATTCATTCTTAGAAATAGTTTCAACAAATCCTCAACTATAATCTTCATTTGAGGACTGGTTTTTGCTTGCCTGTATGTAGGAAATGTATGTATGAGAAGGGACATCTACCACAGGGAAAAATTATGGATGCAGGGGAGTTTATAGGCTGAAGGGCAATTAAACCATAAAGTCCTTGTCTCCAATCTGACAGAACAAGATAAACCTTTAGTGCCATTATTTCTCATTCAAAACATTTTTCTAACTTGCCATTTGTCTGGTTGATCATACTGTTACCCAGTATGGGAAACATCACAAAAGTAGCTCATTTACTGTAAATTATAAAAAATATTCCCTCATTTTATTTTGCAGTCCAGTTAGTCTCATTTTACTTTGCAATCTTGGTGCATGTCAATCAAAAGTATCAAGAAAGTCTAAAAAGAAGTTTCATTTAAACAGGTAACTCATCTGCTAATCTGTTCACATTTTTAAAATCAAAACCTATCGATCACAAAATGAATATAAAAATCATTTTAATGTTAATTTATAATTTATATGTCTTAGTTACTAACAATATGGGGAATGTCTGCAGCATCATTAGCGATATGACCAACAACAGGAATTATTTCTTTTTTAGTAAGTTTTCTAAAATATTCAACAATATCCATTCCTTTTCATTCACATATATGTACAGACCACATAAATACTAAAACATTAAAGTCACATTCAAATATGTTAAATAAAATACATTGTTATGTAGAGGAGTCTGAGGAATTTATATAAACACAAGAAATATCAGATGCAACATAAGAAAGGACATACTGCACTACTATTAATGGGTGACAGGAATGAGAAAGCTGGAGAAATGAAGGAATCTAAAATTAAAGGAAGATTTGGCTTGGATAAACATAATGCCAATACAGGTTAATAAGGTTTTCAAATAAAATTGTTTATTGCCAATGTTTGCTTCAAGCAACATAAATTCCGATTCTATATATGGACATCACTGGATGGACATCTAAATTAAATGAACTATATAATAATAAATAAAAATTGAAGAACAGTCTAATCACTAGAATAGTTCCAAGTATAGACTGTGGGAGAGATTATCAACCATTTTACTAATAGAATTATAAAAGTATGCTGAAAAAGATTAAGAAACGGACTACTACATATTATAAATATAGTATAAGGGGATAGACTGTCAAATACGAAACAACCAGATGCAGTTAAAATATCAATTAAACAATTCAAAACAGCAAGATGAGACTCAATTAACATATGTCAACAAATATGGGGCAAAATGATGTAGTCTGCAGATTGGAAGAGATCAGTCCGCATACTTTTAATGAGGAAGGTAAATTTAAGAGAATGTTCAAATTACAGAATTAGTACACTAATTGCTCATCCCAACCAAGTTTTGATTACATATTAAAAAATATAGCGTGGAAAAACGCCAGTCAAGCAGATTTCAGAAACAACAAAGATGAGAGAACATAAGATGAAAAATAGATAATAAGAATATACCCCCAAAAAAAATCATATTGCAAAACCAATCCAGCTTCACAATGCTGCATATCATACTGACCATGGCCTTTCCACCCTTGTTGTCTCAAACAGGATCCTCATCAGTAAAGGTGATTACCTTAACACGTAGCAAAAAAGATCCCTCCAGATCCTTTCCATCTACTAGAAAATAATAATAATAATAATAATAATAATAATAATAATAATAATAATAATAATATTTTTTATTTCTAAATAATAATATTATTATTTTATTTCTATACCGCCCTTCTCCCGAAGGACTCAGGGCGGTGTACAGCCTATTTAAAAACACAGACAAAACAGCAATTAAAATTTAAAATAATTAAATAAATTTGGCTCAGATTTAAAACCCCAAAAAATTTAAATACCCCAATTTAAAACTATTATGTTGATAGTCCGGCCTGGCGGAACAACAGGGTCTTCAGTGCACAGCGAAACACCCCGAGGTCAGAGATCTTACGTATTTCCGGGGGCAGTTCGTTCCACAGGGCTGGGGCTCCCACAGAGAAGGCCCTCCCCCTGGCTGTCGCCAGCCGACATAACTTGGCCGATGGCACCCGGAGGAGACCCTCTCTGTGGGAGCGAACTGGTCGGTGGGAGGCTATTGGTGGCAGAAGATGGTCTCGGAGGTACCTGGGTCCTATGCCATGGAGCGCTTTAAAGGTGGTAACCAACAACTTTATATTTTGTCTTTTAAAAATCCAAGAGAAGAAATAGGCAAGGACTAGGAAAGAACTTTGGATGAGTTTCTAATTAGAAGGAATTTATTAAAATGCCACTTAGAGTAGCCCCACGGCGAGATTGGTGGCAAATAAATTTAACAAACCAATAAATTTAGAAATAAAAATCTGAAAGAGCCAAAGGAAGCAAGTGGGAATCTTATGCTGCAGTGATCCATTTATCTCTAAAAAATAGGTGGCAAATTAGTGA